CTCGGGAGGGAAAGCGTTCGTCCTTGGCCGAGTAGTTAAACTCGGGAGGGAATTAAGTTTTCAATGAGTAGATAAAAGATGCACAAGAGTTTGTTTCATTAATATGGTGCCTCGTTAAAAATCTCTTCTTGGGAAAACCTCTTCACATTTTCTTTTAAGAGGAGAAAACCCGAGGAGAGGAAAAGAGTGCACCGAAACAATTACATTGCGTTCGTTAACTAAAATAGTGCTTCAAATGTGTTACGTTCCATGTCCGAGGGATGGCTTTTCCTGTGAGTTCTTCCAGCTTGTACGCTCCGTTCTGCAAGTTGTGCATTATACGGTAGGGGCCATCCCAGTTGGGTGCCAACTTTCCTTGAACCTTGTCCCTCCGTGCTTCTCCCGTGACTCGCCAGACCAAGTCGGCGGGTTGGAAATCTCGTGGCTTGACCTTTGATTGATGCTTTCGGATTAATCGGGTTCGGCAAGCCTCCATGTTGATAAGGGCTTGGTCACGCGCTTCTTGGATCAAATCTGATTCGACGCTCAGTGCTTCATCATTGGTTTGTTCATTGAATAGTGTTCGTCTCAAGGAAGGCTCTCCTACTTCCACCGGAATCATGGCATCTGTGCCATAAGTTAGCCGAAAAGGGGTCTCCCTGGTCGAACTTTGTGGAGTGCAACGGTAAGCCCATAAGATTTCTGGCAAATGCTCCGGCCACGTCCCCTTGGCTTGTCCGAGGCGTCGCTTCAGCTCTTTAAGGATAACCTTGTTTGCCGCTTCGGCTTGCCCATTGGTTTGGGGGTGCTCTACTGAGGTCATTTTGTGTTTAATCCCTAGCCCGGTCAAAAACTCGTTGAAACGGCGGTCAGTGAATTGCAAACCATTATCCGTAATCAAAGCATACGGGATTCCAAAACGGGTAATGACATTCTTCCAAAAGAATTTCTGAACGTGGTTAGCCGTGATGGTAGCCACTGCCTCCGCCTCGATCCATTTGGTGAAGTGGTCAACGGCCACAAAAAGAAACTTGACTTGGCCTTTTGCTGGCGGGAAAGGTCCCAAAATGTCCATACCCCAGATAGAGAATGGCCAGGGGGCGGCAATGGAGTGTAAACCCTCGGGGGGTTGATGCATCAACGGTCCGTGTTGCTGACAGGGCTTGCATTGTTGAACAAACTTTGAGCAATCCGCCACTAGAGTTGGCCAATAATATCCTGCCCGGATCCACATAAAAGGTTCAAGTGTTCATTTAATACATCAAAATATATATTTAATTTGAACGAAACAGCTATCATATGATTATACCTAAGTTTGGAGGTCAATTTTCATTTATCTATTTTTTAAGTGCTCTTATATTTAAGTTTTATGAAGAAATATTACCTTTTCAGTGAAAACATTAGTATCTCACAACGCAGTCTTCAATTAATGAAAAGAATTTAAACATTTTTAATTACAATAGCAAAGAGTAGAGATCAATATTTTAAATTTAGTCCGACTAATAATAATTAGCAAACTAGAATACGAGAAGGTAAAATTAACTAGAACCGGAATATATTAACGAAATGAAAATTTATATTGTATTGTTTACAAGGTAAATATCATAATAAAAATAGAATCAAAATATTGAAGATTTTGGAAGAACCAAGCAACTAATTCCATTTTTCATCAAGTTACGATATCAAATCCTAAGAATCACATTCCAAAGAATCGAAAAGTTACGGCATTTAAAAAAGAGTTAATCATCCTTACATGCCAGTGTAAAAAAATTTTATACTGACAACCATTCATATCTTTTAAAGTTACTTATTTTATTATTATTTCATTAAATAAATAACTGACATGTCACTATTAAAAAATATGAATGTTTGTTGTGTTCTTGTGTGCAAGATTTCAGGCAAATCCAAAAAAGTCTCATATGAAGTCTGTTAAAAGAATTCTTAAATATCTAAGAGGAACAACAAATGTAGGACTATGGTATCCAAAAGGAGTCTCACTAAGTCTGATAGGATATTCAGATTCAGACTATGTTGGGTGTAGACTTGATAGGAAGAGCACAAGTGGCACTTGTCTCATGGCATAGCAAAAAGCAAGCATGTGTTGCTTTAAGTAGAGTTGAGGCTGAATACATAGCCGCTGGCAGCTGTTGTGCACAAATCTTCTGGATGAAACAACAACTAAAAGATTATGGAATTGATTTGAGATGTGATAACACAAGTGCAATCAATCTCACAAAAAAATCCAATCTTACACTCTAGGACAAAACATATAGAAATAAGACATCATTTTTAAGAGATAATTTCCAAAAGAATGATTGTGTAGTAGAGTTTGTTGAAAAAATAAACAATTCGCTAATATATTTACAAAACCTCTACCAAAAGAAAGATTTAATCAATTGAGAATTGAACTTGGAATTATCAATGAGTCTTGTTTGAATTGATTGTGAATGTGCACTTGAGTTTCATTGTTTGAATAAAACTTGATTGATGTAAGTATAAAACATTGAAATGTGGTTTATAAAAAAGTGTTTTTAAGAGATGAAATGGATGAGGAAAGTTTTATAAGGTTTAAAATAGTGAAACAAAACTTTTTTGAAATAATCGATTATCGTAAAATTTAATCGATTATTGTAAGTAAGACTAGGCAAATAATCAATTATTTGGGAAATAATTGATTATCTAGGAAAAAGTAGAATTCCAGAAGTCTCTGGAATAATCAATTATTAGGCAAATAATCGATTATCTGGGAAGGATTGAAAGAGTAAGTCTTTGGAATAATCGATTATTCTGGAAATAATCGATTATCTGGGCGCAAAAATGAGACACGAGTCTCTGGAATAATCGATTATTCCAAAAATAATCGATTATTTAGTGCAGACAGGGTTTTTAAACTGATTTTACTAATACAAATAATCAATTATTTGTATAGATAATCAATTATTTACGCGACCCTTTTGAATGGTTTTATTCGCGCCAACTCCTAACCTCCCACTTTCCTTCATAAGTGGCACCTCTCTTCTACCCAATCCGGTGTCCAGGGCTTTAAAGTCACTAACCCTCTTATTTTCTATAAGACCCATTCATTCTGTCAAGCACGTTGGTTCTTTAATTTGGAAGGTGTCGTTGACCTGCTCTATTACCACCTGCGAGTCGCTCCAACATTGTATTCTGGGGATGCCTAGGTCTTTTGCCAACCTTAGGCCTGCCAAAAGGGCCTCATACTCGGCTTGATTATTTGATGCCTTGAAATCGAAACGGAGTGACTGTTCAATTACCACCTTATCGGGACCTTCTAAAATAATGCCAGCACCACTGCCTTGTTGGTTTGATGACCCGTCTACATGTAGGGTCCAAAGATGGGAAACGGGGAGCACTTGGGGTGTGAATTCATTCAAGAAGTCGGCCAAGCTTTGTGCCTTGATGGGTCCTCTAAGCTCGAAGCGAATATCAAACTGGGACAATTCTATGGACCAATCAACCATTCGTCCCGCCAATTCCGGCTTTCACAGGACCTTAGTTACTGGACTGTCCGTTCGGACGAGCACCCGATGGCTCTGAAAATAGTATCGAAGGCGCCTGGTAGTGTGTACGAGGGCTAGGACTGTCTTTTCCAGATGTTGGTATCTCGTCTCGGCGTCTTGCAAGACTCGGCTGATGAAATACACCGGCATTTGCTCCGTCGTTTCTTGCACCAGAACAGCGCTGATAGCCTTGTCCGACACTAATATGTAGACTATCATGTCTAAACAAGGGTCTGGCTTGCTTAACAGCGGTGGAGTTATGAGCATCGTCTTGAAGCTCTGAAAAGTCGCCTTGCATTCCTCGTTCCATTGAAATTTGGTAGCTTTTTTCAATAGTGACATTATAGGTCTTGACTTCTCGGCCATGCAAGGAAGAAAACGGGCCAGAGAGGCTATGCGTCCGGCCAGGCGCTGTACTTCCTTTATGTTGCGAGGACTTTGCATGTTGATAATTGCCTGACACTTATCGGGGTTGGCTTCAATGCCTCTCTTCGACAACATGAAGCCTAGAAATTTTCCACCGGCTACTCCGAAGGTGCATTTAGCTGGGTTCAATCGCATGTTGTGCTGCCTCACCTCGTCAAAAATCGAGTGGAGGTCTTTCAAATGGTTGGCGGCGGAGTTGGACTTGATCACCATATCGTCCACATAGACCTCCAGGCAAGTTCCTATTTGATGTCGGAAAATCTTGTCCATGAGTCTTTGGTAAGTGGCACCGGCATTTCTTAAGCCGAAAGGCATGACCTTGTAACAGAAATTGGCTGAGTCAGTGATGAATGCAGTCTTTTCTTCGTCCGGCGGGTACATGGGTATTTGATTATACCCCGAGTATGCGTCGAGGAAACTTAGTCTTTGATGCCCCGCCGCCCCATCGACCAGCGCATCAATGTGCGGTAGCGGGTAAGCGTCCTTCGGGCATGCCTTGTTCAAATCCATGTAATCGGTGCACATCCTCCATTTACCGTTCGATTTCTTGACCATAACTACGTTGGCCAGCCACGTGGAATACTTCACCTCTCTTATGAATCCTGCTTGAAGTAGCTTCATTGTTTCTTCCTTCACCGCTCGGGCTCTCTCTCCGCCCATCTTTCTTTTCTTTTGGGCGACGGGCTTGGCGTCTCGACATATTGAGAGGCGGTGGCAATGAAAATTTGGATCGATGCCCGGCATATCCGCTGCAGTCCAAGCAAATAAATTCGAATACTTCCGTAGGACTTGCTTGATATCTTTAGCCTCTGTTTCGGATAGTTGAGAACTCAAAAAGGTAACATGTTCTTCATTCTTTCCGAGTTGGAAAGGAACTATTGTCTCAATAGGTTCGACCCTATCTTCATCTTCCAATCTTGGATCAAGTTCAAGGCCTTCCATCGATTTCTGTTTGCCAACGTCGCCGATTACGTTCACGTCCCGTCTGGGCTTCGGAGTCGGTTCTACTTTTAAGCTGGTGAAGTAACATTCGCGCGCTGTTTTCTGGTCGGCATGCACGGTGATGACGGCCCCCTATTCACTTGGAAACTTCATAGCCAAGTGTGGGGTGGAAACGATGGCTCGAAGCTTGTTCAAGGAGGGTCTTCCCAACAGAATGTTGTACGAGGTGTTGGCATGTACCACCACGTAACGCACCTTGATCCGCCTGAGCTGGTCATCCCCGAAATAGGTGTATAGGTCTATGGTTCCGCGGGTGTCCACCCGTTCGCCCGAGAACCCAACCAAAGGCTCATCATAGGGTGTCAACTCTTGTTCCGGGATGCCTAACTGTTCGAAAGTCTTCCAGTATAAGATGTCGGCCGAACTTCCCTGATCAACCAGCGTTTTTTTCACGATACAGTTGTTGATCTCCACGCTGATGACCATTGGGTCGTCTTGCACCGGGTCAATGCCGTGAAAGTCTCGGTCAGTGAACATAATAGGGGGCATACGAATGGGAGATGCTCGCCCTATGGCGTTGACCGACTTGATAGCCCTCAAGTGTCTTTTCCGTGCTGAAGACGAGCTTCCACCTCCTGCGAAGCCTCCGACAATGGTGTTTATGACTCGCCTGGGCTGATTGCGGTCTCGTTGATCGTTTCTTTCTTGAGACCTACTACGCTCGCGGGATCGGTTCCGGGGGGGTGCTCGATCTCGGTTATCCCTTTTATGCTCCCCTCTTCCGGGGCGGTAGTCGTTTCTTCGGTTATCTGTCATCTGGACGAAGTTTTGGAGGTGGCCGGCCTTAATGAGATCTTCGATGCGATCCCGAAGGGCGGAGCATTCCTCCGTAGTGTGTCCTCTGTTCCGATGGAATTGACACGCTTTAGTCTTGTCGGCGTGAGGAGGGGTCATAGCTCTTCGAGGAACAACCAAAACTTCCTTGGCTAGAGCTTGCTCCAACACCCTGGCCTTGCTGGTGTTGAGCGGCGTATATTGCACATACCTTGGACCTCTGTTATTGTTCTTCTCACGATCGGTTGTTTCTCGAGGACGAGATCGTGGATGTTCCTTGTCATTTTCTCTTTTAGCGAGAGATAGGTCAGGTCGGTTTTGGTTGCGAAACTCGGCCAACTCCTCCATCTGCATGTATTTAGTGGCCCTCTGCCGCAGGTCGTCCAGGTCATGGGGTGGTTTCTTGCGCAAACTATTGACAAAAGGACCTGGCCTCAGCGCCGTGGTGAGATGGTGCATTGCTATCGCGGGATCTAGATTTCTGATGGCCAAGGTCATTTTTCCGAACCTCTCCATGAATGTTCTGAGGGGTTCCTTCTTTTCTTGACGGATGTTAACTAACGCGGGTGAGGTTAGTTGGTGAGAGCGGCTTGTGGCGAATTGTATTACGAAGCGGGATGACAAGGTTGTGAACGAATCAACCGATCCGGGAGGGAGCCGCGTGAACGGATTGAGTGCTGGTCCTTTCAACGAAGTAGGAAAGACTTTGCACATGATTGCATCGTCATCGGTGTACAGATCGGCCTGCGTGACGAACGCGTCGAGGTGTTCTTCAGGGTCGGAGGTTCCGTCATACTTTTCTAGGGTCAAGTTTTTCCAGTTGTCAGGCAAACGAGCCCCGGCAATATCTGGTGTGAATGGCGTCCTTCCCTGTCGTCGTTGCTGGTCTTGTGTCGTTGTCGTTGGTCCACCTGATGGTCGAGGGACATTGACTTCCTTGTACCATCCAGATGATTCACCTTGGTCCCGGGTCGACTGATTGCGGGTATCATGCAACAGGTGCCATGTCCGATTATCGCTCCTGAGCTCGGCATTTTCTCTTCTCAGGGCCGATAATTCGTGAGCATCCTTTTCTCGAAGCCTTCTGAGTTCCATCATTTCGGCCTTCAGTTGCTCGATGGCCGACGACGGATTAGGCTGTTGAGATCGGTCGACATACGACTCTTCCATTCCATCCTCATTCTGGTTAGTTCGTTGCCTAGGATTGTCCCGGGGCATCCCGTAAGGGTACTCGGTGGCTACGTTCTCCTGCTGACTTCTTGTAAGTACCATCTTGCTTCAGGGTCGAGAACTGTTCCGGTTTCGATCCCATGGTGGGCGCCAAAATGTTCTTGCGTAGAAACACTCCTCTTGTCGTTCTTTCTTCTCGGTCTTTTGTATCTTCTTAATCCTCTAAGTTCTTGGTCTTCCAAGGCTTCGGGCCCGACTGAATACTGTCTCCGAGGGGGAGGGAGGGTACCTGCAAAGGCACTCCGACGATCAAGTAAGTATTCGGTTCAGAGCAATAAAAGCTTTTTATGGAACAATAACGTACCTCATTTATGTCATATCACCTGTGTATTTATAGTGACATGTGTGGGCCTGGTGGGCCTTCATTCTTGGGAAATGGGTAATATGTAATTATCCTTAATCATTCTTAATTAAGGGCGGTAACTATTGTATAACAAGTACTTAATGTCAAACCTTCAGTTCCTGTTGGAGTTCTCGGCCAGGTGCTTGGCCGAAAGGGTGTTCGGCCTACCCTAGGGCCGAGGGGGTGTTCGGCCAGGTGCAAGACCGAAAGGGTTCACTTTGACGCCAAAGGGATATTTGTCCTGTCCTTGGTGGTGGTGGAGGTATTCGGCCTATCCCAAGGCCGAGGGGGTGTTCGGCATGGGCCAGTGCCGAGGAGGTGTTCGGCCCAACCTCTAGCCGAAGGGGTGATGTGTTTTTTATCGGCTCGGGCACCTCTTTCGGCCTATTGCCTGAGCGAAAGGGTGCCAACTGGTGTCCTATCGGTTCGGGTACCCTTTTCGGCCTATTGCCTGACCGAAGGGGTGTCAACCAGTGTGTTCCATCGGTTTGGGTACCCCTCTCGGCCTATTGTCTGACCGAGGGGGTGCCTACTGGTACAAAAAATAATGAGACATCATTGATATTATATTTTATGATGAGAAAACTGAAATCATAAATGATTGTAACCAGTTTCAAAAATGGGGAAAAAAGAAACAAATTAAGCAAATGAACAATCTTAATCTGATTTATGAAAATAATGATTCCAACTGACTTGAGATTTAGATTGTTACCATGATCATGTTCATATAAGAGGATGTAATGTTAGTCATTCTACTTCACATTTCACATGAATCAAGTTAATTTTAACTGAGGGGTTTATTTCTTTGTTTACAGCTAGTCCTAATCTTACATTTAACTTCAATTCTTCATGTGCTTTTATCCAGAATAGGCACGCGAAACCATAAGTAAAAATCAAAACCACAAAGGTAAAAACTAAGAAGACGGACAAAAACTATAACCCAAACTCTCTGTCACGAAACTGCAGAAATGGCGACTCAATAGATAATTCAGAAAATAAAAGAATGTGAGACCATATATGACAAAAAGAACTGCATAAAATGTGAGAGCATATATTGCAAATATCATGAAAATAATGTGAACATAGAAAATACAATAAAATAAATTAAACCACTCTTGCATATGTGTCAAACTAAATTCAGAACCTAAGTAAAATTTAAATATCTTAAAACAACAGCTGGAATTGAAAAAACCACGCCAACCTAGTAACTAAGTAAACACAAAACGAATTGTTAACAGTTCTCATTTCTCCTCCTTAACTTCTTTTAACAAATGACCAAGACCATTAGTGAGAGCAGATGATGCCTTCAATATGTTGAGACACGAGACCAAGACAACACGGTAAAATTAACTTGTGCATAAACTATTTTTAGAGAATCTCTTTTATTAATTTTTTCAATATCTTTTTTTTTTAATATATGCATATATAAACAAATATTATGATTATGGAAAAGTTTATTTCAATTTTTCTTTATATTTTTTCTATCTAAAAGTTTATTTCAATTTTTCTTTGAAATTAGTACGAGTCTTACGTAATGTGCATGCATTTGGACATGGTGGCGTTAATTAATTGTTTTCGCAGGAATACGTAGAGGTACTATATGACGTTTACGTTTACGAGTAACTAGTAGTAGAAAATAATGAGTGAGTGTTTTTGAATAAAGAAGTTAATTAGGGGATAGCCACTATTTGTTGGATGAGTCCGGACTCTGTCCCCCAAAATTCCTCTCCAGCTTTTTTATGAAACCTTGCATAGATCTCAAAATTAAGGAAAAGATAAAACGATACACTTCTTTTCTTTAGATGAAGTTAATATTATTCTTTAATCAACGTTACAGTTTTACTTAGGGTTTATACACTTACATTTAATGCAAATGCAAGTCTCAATCATTTTATTTTTTTTTGCTTTTTTTAAAATTAAAGTCTAGATAGAGTAAGAAATGATCTCATGTAAAATTAAAGTCAACCACTGATCTCTAAGATTTTTAGTTCGATTATGAATTGTCTACCCATTAAACTTAAGTTTGAATAAAATGATATAAAAAATGAGGGAAAGCGAATTCAATTCCATGTTATAATTATAAACACTAAACTCACTTGACATTCTCAAGCTCTTAAGAAAGTAAACTATTTTGGTTATTTATTATGTGATGTTGCAATTAAATAGTTTAATTGTTTTAAAATTTTAATTGATTTTAATCATCATATTCAATGCTAGACATAAGTAAACTTGAGGTATGCATTTAGGGATGTAAAAAAATTCATACTCACCATTATTTACAAATAAAATTTGCAACAAGTAAAAATGAATATTATAAATAGATAACTACAGAGTAATAAGTATAATTTTTTTTTATATCCGCGTGTTAAAGGAGATGGTACAGGTATTGAAATATTCATACCTACTAATATTGAATTTATTTAAACTAGTATGAATTTGATTTTATTTGGATTTATAATAGTTAAGTATTGTACTTTATTATCTTTTATTATGATTTATGTGTAATCAAAATATTTTATATTAATTATTGTTTGAACTTTAAATTTATATGATTAAATGTTTAAAATTTAATTTTTAAATTCATTTATTGTTATTAGTGTAATTATAAAGAATATTTGAATATTAATTCTATAATCTTCAAACTTTTTATGCATATTTTATTTATATTTTAGTTATAATCTTCAAAAAAAATGCAAATTTTTATAACTTTTAAAAGAAAAAAAGTTATTACAAATAATTAAAATGTACAATTAAAATATTTTGCTAAATAAAAATCACTAATAAAAAAACACCTAATTAATACTACAATTTAATACTTTTCACACTTTTTCAAACTATGTAAACAAAAGAAGACATTTTTTTTATTTTATAATAATATATATGTCAAATAGAGTATGATAAATATAATTATTAATTTTTCATATACAAAGACACTTTTTCATTTTTTTAATTTTATTTTCTCTCATATTTATTTTCATATACAAATTGCAAAGTGTTAAAGAGAGCCGTATTTTAAAAATAAAGCATTTAAGGCAATTTTTGTATGAAATCTACCCTAGTTTTTATACTAATACTAATTTTTGTTATTCTTGGTAGCAAGCATGAAAAAGCATGGATTGATGTTAAATTAAGTTGACCATTAAGCAAATAGTTAGTGGAGTCAACTCCATTTCAAAGGCGTGTTCATGTTTCTTGCCCACATAAAAGGTTCAAGTGTTCATTTAATACATCAAAATATATATTTAATTTGAACGAAACAGCTATCATATGATTATACCTAAGTTTGGAGGTCAATTTTCATTTATCTATTTTTTAAGTGCTCTTATATTTAAGTTTTATGAAGAAATATTACCTTTTCAGTGAAAACATTAGTATCTCACAACGCAGTCTTCAATTAATGAAAAGAATTTAAACATTTTTAATTACAATAGCAAAGAGTAGAGATCAATATTTTAAATTTAGTCCGACTAATAATAATTAGCAAACTAGAATACGAGAAGGTAAAATTAACTAGAACCGGAATATATTAACGAAATGAAAATTTATATTGTATTGTTTACAAGGTAAATATCATAATAAAAATAGAATCAAAATATTGAAGATTTTGGAAGAACCAAGCAACTAATTCCATTTTTCATCAAGTTACGATATCAAATCCTAAGAATCACATTCCAAAGAATCGAAAAGTTACGGCATTTAAAAAAGAGTTAATCATCCTTACATGCCAGTGTAAAAAAATTTTATACTGACAACCATTCATATCTTTTAAAGTTACTTATTTTATTATTATTTCATTAAATAAATAACTGACATGTCACTATTAAAAAATATGATCGATTACCAATGTAAAAAAACTTTACACTAACGATATATAAGTGATTAACTCTTTAAAAAATGTACGTGCTTGTTTTTAACACCCTTATATTAATTGAGTTAATTACCTATATACTGCTAGTATAAAAAAATTTTACACTGACAACCAATTATATCTTTTAATTGTGTTATGTCGCTATCATATCATTTACTTTTAATAGTGACATGGCACTATTAAAGTATATGATTGGTTACCAGTGTAAAAAAACTTTACACTGATAGTGTATAGGTGATTAACTCATTATTTTTCAAAATATTGAAATAATTAAAATCAAAACGAGTTAAACTAAAAACTATAATGGGATTAAAAAATAACTTCCAATGTTACTGTAGAAATAATTTTCCCAGGCCACGTCATAGAAATAGAAATGTAGCAAATCATTTATAATTCCACTATAATTATAATAGTGAAACTACTTTTCTGGGAATGATCAACACACGGGAATATTTTTTTAAGACTATTAACAAACATGAGTATACTACATTTCCAAGTTCACATTCACAATATATTTCTTAAGTCCACGAAACAATCACACTATAGGATTAAACCTATCAAGTAGCAGAAACGGGAGAAAGATTCTTAATGATGCTGAAACCCTGAAGACTGTAAAATGTAATGGATGGCAAAAAGTGAGAAGAGAAAGCTAGTTTATTATATAGAAATAACACCAGTCTTCACATTGAAGATAAAGACTGAGTGAGGACTGAAACAGGTTTCTTCTCACCAACTCCTCGAAACCTAAACACTAGCCTAATGCCATGTCGACAAAAATAAAGGTTTTCTTAACAACAGAACCAATTACTTGAAGCTGGTGTCATAATATTTTAATCTCAGTTTCAAATTCAAGTGAGAAGCACAAAATGCATACCACACCAAAAGATATAACAAAACAGTGAATTGGGAAAAGAAAAAAAAAATCCACAACCTAAATGCAGAATAGATAATACAATGGGAGCATCAAGAACTTCATTTTGCGTTGACAGAATGCAAAAGTGTTGAAGAAATCATTATTGAAAGTTATGGAGGCTCTAACTATACTCCAATTTTTGCTTATGTAAATCATGCCTAACAAATAAGAATAATGATTATACTTGTAATTTTGTTGAATCACGTGACTATATTTGTATTAACGAATTGGTACAAGTTGAAGTGACCAGAATCTATAGGTAACATGGCAATCTAATGCCCAATGACGACAAACACATGGAAATAAATGCAAACACAAGCAAAAGCAAACATTAGGGAAATATGTTTTTGAATAGTTGGATTGGAAACATACGCTAATGAGGAATGAGGGTTTAACTTGACAAAGAAGAAGAGAATCGGGAGTCAGAATCAGAGCAAGTGAAAAATGAGAATGCCACACAACAAGGAGTCAAAAACCATGAACTATGGGGATAACACTTGCACTTGCACACTTTGAATAGGGTTAAGGAAAAGAATAATTTAATAATTATTTTAAAAAATGAGTTGCTTTGTTCCCCCATACCTCCCAAATTACAGAAGAAAATTTGGGGATTAGATGGAATAAGTTGGAAAAAATTTAACTAGTGCGTTCCATCCTTTTAAGAATTCAAACAATGTGACAACAAATGAGATTCCATTACACTCCCCTGAACTCCATTCCCATTTCTACCAAATGAAACATAGTCTAAGAATAATATGATGAGTAAATAAACTCAAGAATAGCCAGCCACTACAAGAAACTTCTACCTCCAGGTTCCACCATAATATTCATTGCTAAAATATACTAATTGCGCAACTTCCTCACCATAATTGTTATTTAGCACTCTTCCTACTTGAGGTCATCTTCTAGTAATTGCCAGAGTGTTTGGAAGCAGTACAACTCAATAGATCTAATAGTGAATGCAATCAAAATGCACCACTTCACAACCAGCTTAATAGGCATTTACTTTTTAGAAAACCTTAGCAAATACAACAAAATAGACATCCAAAGATATCAATCCAACAAACTCATATAAAGGATTGAATAATATATAAACATAATAAATGGAGAATCCAACAAATGAGAAGGTTGTAATATTAGTTCTATAAAGCCTATAACTCCTCAAAGATATATCATCATCTTCAAGATAGAAACTAGAGTAAAATAGGTAAACAGAATGCAAAATTAAGAGGACCAACAAACCAATATATTAACTATTAAGCTGCTCAACCAAGAATTTACCTATTGTAGAAAAAATTCACAGATTAATACAAGATAATATTTCTCACCCAACATATTCAAAATGTTACCAAGAGAAACAGTAATTAAACGGGAAAGGGAAGATAATTTTGCCATCTTGTTGGATAAGAATATAGTTTACAACTGTCAGAGTATTCATCATTTCCCCCTGGAATTTAGAAAAAAAAAATTGTAAGAGAACTATTCCACTTATTTTAAAAAAATAATAATAACAAGATCATGGGAAAGATAAAGTTACAATTTTGATTTGACTCAACTCTTCATCATGAGAAATATAAAAGTACAATTTAATTTCACTTACGTGTTCATCATTAAGGTTATGTTGTCCCCTTTAAGAAGGATCCTCCCTAATCAAAAAACAAAATCCTTCAGAAAATGCATAGGTGGCAAAGACAAATTGAACAAAACTTAAGAAATTGTAGCATACCTAATGTCTTTTTGCTATTCTTCTTGACGTTCACTTCTTCAGCATCATCAAGAACCAAATTCATGTATTCATCAAAACCCTGTTTGAAACAAAATCACATTATCCTTAACTATCAACTCATATGATCAGTATTTTCAACAAGGGTATGCTGTCTAGTGTCTAAAACAGCTACCGCCATTCACACCCACCCCCCAAAAAAAGAACCAAAAGGTCTTTTGGAAGTCAACATATGTTAGATCACACTGTTTTCAAAATTACAAAAGAAAACCACTATTAAACTAAACTGAACTCCCTCACAATCCAATACACTGAAAATCAGAGCACACACCTTAAGTCACAGATAAATTATAAAAAAAAAATATATCACATGTTCCCCTGCAGTGAAGACTTTTCATCCACTTGCAATACATATTAAAATCAACAAAACACAATTTTGATGAGCACCCATGTAGCAAACAAGCATAAAAATAAGACTCACAATGATTCGGCCTTCGATCCTCAAATCCTTTTGCTCAAAAAGCCAAATCTGAATGCGCGCTTTCTGCGTAAATTAAAACAGAGAAATAAAACGAAGTGAGAAAAAAGAACGAAGGAAAATTAGGGGAAAGCAAGAAAAAATGAGAGTAGGCGAAGACTTACGCTCTGAAGAAACCTGAAAATCAAGTTCTGAGGAAACGAAGAAAGGAAGGAAATAAGGTTAAAGGAAAACCAAATAAATAAATAAAAAAATAAAAATAAAAAAAAAGAGCGCGTGAGAACCATACAATGGGTTGGGTCATAACCCTCTGAACTTTGGTGCTCGCCATGGCTGCTAGAGTTTTGGAATGGGAAGAGGAAGACTACTAACTTTCGAATGTATGAGCCAACCAAAAACCAAAACTAGGGTTTCGTCTTCTCACTTTCAAACATATAGACACTTGTGACTGTTTTCGCCTCTTGGCTTTCTTTAAAAAATATAAAAAAAATTATATATGTTAGAAAGGTGGTGGAAGTATTTCATATTTTTAATAATTATATAGATAAAATATTAAAAGATTATATGTAATTATTTAAAAAAAATATAAGAATTTTTTTTAAGTTTAAAAGATATAATAATCTATTAAAAAATCTAAATAAAAAATTTATATATTTTAATATTTTTTTATAATATTTATAGATTTTATTTTATTTAAAAAACTAAAATTCATTATTTTATTAAATAAAAATATATAAAAAAAATATGTAATATATTTAAATAATTTCTAGCCATTTTAATTCTCTTAAAAAATTGTGTATTTTTTAGTTCTTGCAAATTGCAAAATTCATCACTTTTAACCTTTAATAAAAAAAATTAAAATCGTATTGCTTTTTAAATGTAAAGAAAATTATAATGACTAAAAAATATATACTAATTAAAACTTGGAATTTTTTTATTTTATATCATTTTATGCATATTTGTATTATGGATGAAATAAGTAATTGTAATATCTCTCAAAATCTTTAAAATGTGGTAAAGTAGAATAATTATGCTTTTGTATACTTTTTATTACTTAATTTGTTAAAATTATTTATTGTGAGTTGCTTTAGTTACCAACTTAATGACATCTTAATGACATATAAAGTGTAGCATTAGAAATAATCCAATGGAATAATAATTCATTTTCTTACTGCCAATTTTCTCAATTTTATCACGCTCTTTCAATTTGTCTCAATGGTCACATCTCCTTTTACGCAAATTGACAATGCATCTTTGGGATAATTTGCATGAACCATTTTCCAAAGGTGCCATTTTCGTATTTTCGATCTACTTCAAGAAATTCATTTGGTAAGACAAGTAGAACATCTCTGAATTCTTTACTGAACTGAAAGCTGTTTAGGATGACTAATGAATAAATAACTAACTAAATGTTGACTAGTGAATAAATAAAAAATTAATATTTACATAATTTTTTGTAGGATTATTCACATGTACAAGTATACATAAATTTAAATCTACCCAATCCAACTCACAATGATTTAAATTTTTAGATTCTCTAGGTAGAATTCAACTCAAACTAATGGAATTCATTAGTCTTCAAACTAGATATCGAATTTTAGTGTTGGAAATTCAACCAACTCATTTGACATATTTTAAAAGCTAATTTATAATTATATATGTATATATATTATAAAATAATAGAAATCGATAATTTAAAAAATAACACGTTAGGATATGTTATATTGTAATGACACAAATTTTCATATTTTTATTCCGTAATGATTCAACTTAATTTTAATTGAGATATTTGTCTGTGTTTGCAACGAGTCCTGATCTTCCAACTTACATTTAACTTTTACTACACATTCGCTTTAAACGTAAGAGGCGCAAGAAACCATAAACAAAATTCAGAACAACAAAGGCAAAAAAAAATCATGAACAGAACACAGGCAAAATCTAGAATCCAAATTTTGCGTCACCAAAATCAAAAGGAATACAGGCAAAATAATGACATAATTGATTGTTGCATATGATGCTGCAAATATCAAGAAGACGCTGGATAAGGAAAATAAAAGAAAGTAAACCACACTTGCATTCAAGTCAAAATAAAATTCAAAACTAGGTAAAATGGAAAAACTAAAAGATCTTAGAACAACAAAGCTAACAGAATTGAAATAACCAACCCAAAATAGTAAACATAGTAATGTTGTCCATTTCAAAGTTTCCCTAACAACTTAAAACACAACACATTACAACATTCACAGTTCTCATTTCTCTTACTTAACTTCGGTTAACAAGTGACGAAGACCAATTGTGAGAGCAAATGTTGAGGTCAAAGATGCCTTCAATATGTTGAGACACTGCACCAAGACAACAACATAAAATGAGAAATTGTAAGATAAAATCCTAGTAAAAATCAATCTAGCATTAAAACAATACACAAAAGTATGACAAAGAATTGACAGTAAAACTACATGTACTCTTACCTCCTTGAGGCCAATGGTAACAACCTTTTCCTCAAGGTCATTGAAAGGAGTATTCAAACGGTTGAGTAAATTTAAAGCTGAAATTGGAGAAAATGGAGCTACCACCAAATCATCCGTGACCACATACATAGCAGGTCCCTTGACAAAACCTTCAAAATCTACTGCAGGAAATTTCTCATAACTTTTAACATTACTCTTATTTTCATATTCACCTTCTTTGAAAAATTGAACATATAAAATGTGTCCATTGTTAGCATATTCATAACGCCAAGAATATCGCAAAACATCCATTGATAAAATCGATGTAATATTTTTTACATCAATTCCAAAATTACGAATCTAAAATCGATGTAATATTTTTTTAAATTTTTTTTGTCAAGTTCATTGTTACATATCAATTTCTTGTTTTTTTTGTCTAGCAGGTCTAAAAACTTCACGTGGCTCGTGTAAGTAAGATGAGACCAGATGAATCTAACCTTGGAATAGCATTTACGGGATTCAAAATTCGGATTCTTAATGATTGAAAAAACAAGGTATAAAATTTTTGTAATAGATATTTTTCCCATGAAAGAATTTAAGTGAAAATTGTAATTGAGAGGATTATTCCAGTTTATATATATGTCCGATGTCTCCCACGTTCTTATCCTCTTATCCTTTACAGAATTAAATCACTTATTTAATTCTATATTGATTATAATTTTTTTTTGGAAAGCATATTATAAATTTTATTGAAATTTGTAAATAAAATATATATGATATGAATAATTTTTTAAAAAGAGTTAATTACGTATACATTGTCAATGTAAAAATTTTTTACAATGACAATCAATCATATCTCTTAATAGTTTCATGTCATTTACTTATTTAATGAAATAAAATAAAATAATTTAAAAGATATGATTGGTTGTCAGTGTAAAAAACTTTACACTAACAGTGTATAGATAATTAACTCTTTTAAAAATTTAATAGAAATTGAGTCAAATTTCAATTAATGACTTATTCTTTCATCAACTGACTACTTATATTGAATCAATTTTTAAAAAATTCTATATGATACATTAAAAAGATAAATGTAAGTTCGATTGAATCGTAAATAATATTATAATATGTATGTGAAGTGAAACTTGCAAAAATATTTTGAAATCTTACAGAAAAAATAAAATAGTAAAGGGTATAATTTAAAAACACTTAATTGTAATAAATATTTAGTGAAAGTAATTTAAAATTATCTTTTGATAACTTTTTTTTTAACAAAAGAAGAAGTAACGCTTGCAAATTAAAAATGATGAAAGAAGAGACTTTGATGTATCCGTAAATAAAAAAAAAATAGATCTAATCAAACAATGTATAAAATATCTTCAATTCTTTCATTAATATTAAAACTATGCTTGATAATATTGTTCTATTGTCGGTCTACTTATTTGACCTATCTAAATACATGTTTGCAAAAATCAATTAGCAATAAACCCATCAACTTAGGTTAGGTAGAACCTAATACATGTGTTGTTGAGTAAGAAAGCTACAGTAGCTGAGTCTATGTCCACTAAGAGCTGACCAATAATTCATTTTCCTTAGATATCTTCAACCATGGAATATGGTCCATAATCCAATCTTATACGCATGGCTCATAAACAAAAAATATAATAAATAATATAATAAAGAAAATTAAAAAAAAAATTCTAATGATTGATTGTAAGATTTTTTTTACAAGTAAAACAATTAAAAAAATAACATATTTCTACATGTAAAAAAAATAGTATCATTAGTTTTAATTAGACAAAAAAAATCATGTTGCATTGTTTTCAAAATAAAGAAATTAAATTATTACTTTTAATTAATAAAGAAGTCAAATTAAGCTAGTTAAATAAAGTTTACAATATTATTTTTAGTTCTTACAATTTTACTTATACTTATTTTATTAAATTCTTTTTAATCCATTAAATTAACATGAACGAAAATTTTCTTAATTATTATCAACTAATTTTTATTTATCATCTTTAAGTAATTATAAGAAATATTATTTATCAACTTATTTTTGTCACGTTGTGATTAATATATTGTAAAATCTTAAAAAGGATAATGATCAATAAATTATGATGTTACCCAATTAACAATTTTTTTTGCAATTTATATTTTTAATATATTTAAAAATTTTCAAAAATAGATTGTGAATATTAAACTATAGTAAATAAAAAATGTATTAATTACTATATTTATAAATAACACAATTATTATAATTTATTAGATATTTAAATAATGACTATATTTAAAAATGTCACAATTACTATTGATTGAGTAATGATTCAACTTAATTTTACAATTGAGATATTTTTCAGTGTTGGCAACGAGTTCTGATCTTCCAACTTACATTTAACTTTTACAACACATTCTCTTTAATACGTAAGAGGCGCATGAAACCATAACCAAAATTCAGAACAAACGCAAAAATAAAACATGAACAGAACACATGCAAAATCTAGAATCCAAATTTTGCGTCACCAAAATCAAAAAGAATTACATATGATGCTCCAAATAACAGAATTGAAATAACCAACCCAAAATAGTAAACATAGTAATGTTGTCCATTTCAAAGTTTCCCTAACAATTTAAAACACAACACATTACAACATTCACAGTTCTCACTTCTCCTCCTTAACTTCGGTTAACAAGCGACCAAGACCATTTGTGAGAGCAGATGTTGAGGTCAAAGATGCCTTCAATATGTTGAGACACTGCACCAAGACAACAACATAAAATGAGAAATTGTAAGATAAAATACTAGTAAAATTCAATCTAGCATAAAAACTCCAAAACACAAAAGTATGACAAAGTATTGACAGTAAAACTACGTGTACTCTTACCTCCTTGAGGCCAATGGTAACAACCTTTTCCTTAAGGTCATTGAAAGGAGTATTCAAACGGTTGAGTAAATTTAAAGCTGAAATTGGAGAAAGTGGTGCTACCACCAAATCATCCGTAACCACGTACATAGCAGGTCCCTTGACAAAACCTTCAAAATCTACTGTAGGAAATACCTCATAGCATTTCAAATTACTCTTATTTTCATATTCACCTTTGAAAAATTGAACATATAAAATGCGTTCACCGTTAGCATATACATAACGGTAAGAATATCGCAAAACATCCATTGATAAAATCTTGTTGCTTAGCTTGAACTGCGGGAGCAAGTGAGGATCAAGAAGCCTGTTCTTTGCTTCTTTTGACATCAAATATTTGTTATCATTTAAATCAGCAATGCTCTTGTACAATCCATCAATGCTACCCAAAGAGCAGTTTCCACCTAGCTTACTTACCACTCCTCCCAAAGGAAAGGTGAGAAAACTTAAAACCAAGTCTGCAAAATCTTTTTCCCCTTGAGCATACAATATCTTCCCATCTGATTTTCTTATCACCAACTTCAACATAATTTTAATGCAACTATATTCTTCACTACTAAAAGACAAAAACCTTGATCTCTCCGGGATTGGTTTCTTTTCTAAAAACAAATTTGTCAAACTTGTCTTGGAAAGCAAAGAACACTTTAACAGATCCAGTACCTGTACAAAACACAAATCAATAAATATTAAGTGAAGAATAAAAAAATTTAAAAAGAGATAAACACCATATATAGAATGAAACTAAATATAGAACCTTTTCCTTGTTAACATTCACAGTCATTTCCTTCACTGAACTTGGGCTTTTTATTCCAAGATTCTGGAGCAAAGCAAAGGTTGTATAATCCACAGAATTTGGCATGACGATCAGATCATCAGTAACAATAAAACTCGCAGCAGCGTTGACAAATCCATTACAAAAATTTTCCGAAAAAGCTGTACGGGTCAAAGGAAACCCATATCTACAATTTAGTGTAGTTGTGTAAGGGATCAATTGAAAACAAGAACAGCTACCAAAATCAGTACACACGTAGTACTTTGAGTCACTGTCATCAATGTTGAGCTTGAGGCTGTTACAATAATCTTGCGATGAGTTCCTTGGCTGCAACAGTATTTCTTTGAATGTCCGATTCCACAGACAGTTATCAAGATCTGTCACAGAATGATAGAGTGAGTTTAAACAACCTATTGTAACTGGCCCAATGTTAGACTCTTTTTCTAGAAGTCTCACGATGGTTCCTAAAGGCAGCGTTAAGAAGCTAAATAGGACGTCCACAAAGTCCTTTCCTGCTTCAGCAAATAACACTTTGTTCGTCTCTTTGTTCACCACTAGTTTCAATGACACATGCCCTTGTTCTTGAGTAACAGCCATGGTAGCAACTAGCCAAAGAAAAACAAACAACAAATTCTAAACAAAGTGTTTCTATTGACCGTAACTTTGTAGGACGGATAGATTGTGCATTTATATATATAGCCATACTTAATTCTTGAAACTGTAAATGGTTTGATGGCTATTAAATGTTAATTCTTGAAATTAGTAGTTGAATTCTTGGATAAATAATACTCCCACCCTAAACAAATTATGTCTTTTTTCTTGATTATATCTTTATTTAATAAATATTCTCTGAATCTCTGACTACTCACTAATTTAATTTCTGGGACTTGATGATTTTTTATGTATCAAATATTTTGTTTTCGAAGGTTTTGTCAAGGGAGTAATAACTACATCAACAAAAGAAGTGTGCTTTTCAATCAAGCAGTTAATTTACCGCATCGCGACCATAATAAGTTCGACGGTCTATTTTTATCACTAAACACGAGGCAAAAGAAAAATTAAATTAATTGTATCCAAATGAGTAGTTTGGTCCAGTTTTTGTAATTTACTCATGCTGTTTATTCATTTGAGCATTGTTATTTCCTATTGTAAAATCTTTTACCATTTATTTTCCTCCTTCTATCCCAACTTACTTATCAATTTATAATATCAATGAAATATTTATTTTTCTTACTTACTCTCAACCTCTTACTGCTTAATGTTATATATATAAAAAAAATTATTCATTTTAATTACTCCCTCTATCTCATTTCTTTAATGATATAAGGTTAACATATATGAAAATTAAGATATATATATATATATATATATATATATATATATATAAGTTTAGAATAAAATTCCTTATTTAATATCTCATTAATAGCATTATAGCATTATTACTAGTATGTTTATCTGTTGTGTAGTAAAAATGAGTAGTTGGTAGACAGATGTTATATTTTTTTTATTCTTTAAATAGAATATAAGTAAGAAAAAAGACTAACTTATTATTGAAATTCTAAAACAATTGTTTTATAAAAATACTAAAAGCACTAAATAAATGAGATAGAGGGAATATCAATTCACAATATCAATTGAAACATTAATTTTTTTATTATATTTTTTATCATTTATTGAAGAGTTAAAAGAAGAAAAAAATATGAGAGAAAGACTAAGACAAGAAATATATCATCTCTACGTTCTATTTTGTTAGACATTTTAATAATAAAAAATATTTTAATTATCTTTATCATTTTATAATATTAATGAGATATTAAACATTTTTTTAACTATCTCTATTTCTTTTTTACCAATAAAATGCTATCCTTAATTCTTTATTGTGGAAGGAGAATTCTCGATCACAACGGTTTAAGAATAGTTAGAAATTTTTACAAGTATAAATTAATATATATATATATATATATATATATAGTTACAAATTTGTATTACAATGTACATTGTCTATATTTTATATGATATCTGCACTTGCTTGTGTTATTTTTTATCTTTATATATATATATATATATATATATATATATATACGTGGATGATGACATACTAATTTAATATAATTGTTAAAGTATAAAAATATAAATAAAAATATCATGCTAAATTTTACTGATTATAAACGAACATCTAATATTGGATTACAAAAATATTTTTAAAAAAATGAAGAAATCTATATATAACTTTTTTTAGCCTAGAGTGTGAGACCCCCTTCTGATTTTCTTCTTTTCTTCCACAAGGCCCTACCCTCTCCCTCTCATTTTTAAACTGAACCCTTCTTTTCCCCTTCGTTTGAACTCAAGGTGGTGGTGCTGGGTTGTGAGGTGTGCTAGCTGGTGTTGGGTTCCCCTCTCCTTCCTCTTGCATTCAAGCTCCCTAGTTTACTCTTCTCTTCCGCTCAAGCTTTCCGGAGCTCGGAATTTTCACCCGAGGTAAGGGAAGCTAGTAATTTTGTTTCTTGTTCGCTGTTCTTGACTGTGGACGAGTTCTATAAACTCGTTAGATGCTTGTTGGTGTCTGATTCATGGCTGGAATTGAAAGAAAGCTTGTTTTCTTTGGGGTTTCGGGGTTGTTGAGAAATTTTGGGGAAAATCTTTGAATTGTTGTTGCATGTTGAAAAAGGTGGTATTTTTGGACTCTTGGATG